ACTATTCAACTCAAAGACTGAGAAGTGAACAAAAGAGTAGCAGTAACTCAAAAACAGCACAAATGGAGCCAAACCCGTGAGTTAATTCAAGTCAGCTCGAGCTGAACTGCATACATACGGCAACATGTGTCACTCTCCTCACATCATATTCCAGACAAACTCTCCCATTTTCCAATCTCTCCCTCCAACAAATCAAACCTACTGTTAACACCCCAGCTCCCACCTGTAGGCTCTCAGCGGACGATTACTTATGATTCCACCGTGCACTGGCAAGGAGTGATGAGCACGCAACAAGATGAGAAACTATAACTACATTCAGCTACAACAACAGCTCATTTAAAATAAAACATAATAAGAGAAAGACACTGAGGCGTGGAAACATGATAAAAGAGGAATGACCTAAAGGACTGAGCTATAAAAAAAATCCAAGTATGATTTCTCAGAGATGTAAACAACTTTTTCCTGAAAGAAGCCAGTAACCGAGGATACTGGATAACATCTATTTGAGCAGGTGAAGAGAAGTCCGAGGTTAAACAACAGGTTATCAGTAAACGGCAGTGCGGCGGGGATGGAGGATGAAGCGCTGGGTCTGGCTGTGAATGGGTTTGCAGAAGATCAGAAAGGTTTGTGGGAGTAGGTCAGAACAGCGGGCAGTTAGACGGTCAGAGCCTTTTTCTACAGCTCACAGAGGAACTCCGAATCGTGCTTCAGGTGACTGATTTTTAGAGGGATCCTCTCTCTAATTACTTAAGGAGGCAAGAATCCGACCCCCCTAAAGTCATCATTTAAATGGATTTCAGAGTAGCCTCCAAAACCATGATCTATAGTATTTCATGCTAACATCAGAGAGTCAGACGATCAAAAGGACAATTATATAAACTAATTAGAGTCCTTAGGGGTTATTAAATGTCTCTAATTGGCTACATAACACATAAAATGACACATAGAGATAGAGGGAGCATTCATAAGTCACATTATAATATAAGTAATTTCATCAAGGGTGGGATATTAATCTGTGGATGAGTCAGTAAGGGGAAAGGTGATCTGCAAGACAAGAGAATAAATGACATGAGATGTACAAAAGTGCCTTTGTTTTCTTTCAATGATTTTCAGCAGTCTTGATTCATCTTTGTCCTCATCATACAGCTGAGTTCAAGGAAGAGTGGAGGAGGGGGAAATAGTCAGCTCGTGGAGTTTTCTTTTCATTCTTAAGGAGCAATTACACTCCTGGATGATGACTTTTGAATTAATAGAAAATCTGTTTCGTTAAAGCATGTATTCTCTTTTCATGTGCTGCTCAGACATCATGAAATCAAATTCTTTACATCTGCAGTCCTGATGGGGAGACTGGGGTAACAAACGACTCATGCAGCACTTGGTTACAGCTACATTTTTAGGTAACAGAGCCGATGAAGTTGCTGTGTGAAGCCTAGAATGACAGCGTGTTGCTCGAAGGGCATTTCAAGGCTGCACTTTTGGATATTTGTTGCAAATTCAGTGTCTTCCCTCCTAGTTTCATCATAAACAGCCTTGTTTCCTTCGTGAAAAAAAAAAGTCAAATCTAATTAATCAGTGATCATTAAGCATGCAAAATGATCTTAGATGTGGCTGCACATAATACATAATGAGGCAGCATGCTGTTTTTGATTTCATGTTGTTCTGCTAGACCATCGATGTTCTTTTGAAAAACGGGAAGCAGCGGTTTCAGTTTTCAGTTCCTGTTTTTATTTTCTTTAGAAAGTTAAAGCTGCACTAAAGACAGGTAAACACAGATCCCAGTGTCATCACTGCAAATTCAATTTAGGATGCATAAATACGGCACATTTTCCAGGTAATTACTGCATAATCCCACGTAGAACTCTCATTTAACATCTTCTCAAGAGCTAATAAAATAAAAATGTGGTTTTCAGTCCAATCCTGGGTTTTTTCAGTGTTGTACTGAAATGAAAGGCAGTATTGAATGAAGGAGTTCCTTGACAGTGGGGTCACTCATTACTCTCTGTGAGTTGCTCCCTGGATGCCTCATTAGAAATCTGCAGAAAGGGAGTACTGATCTCACTTGACTGCATATCACCAGCGACTCGCAGGAAGCAGCTCAGGACCATGTCCTTGGCCAAGCCGGCCTCCATGTTGCCCTCCCGGCTGAGCTGCAAAGTGATTTGGTCCAGGCTGGTGAGGACCAGCTCTGAGCCCAGTAAAGGGCAAATGGCACTTGCGTCAGAGTCTGAACCAGGGGCTCCTTCTCTTGCCATATTCTCCATCATGTATTGCTGATACAGATCCAGGAGTTTTTGCTCCAGGTAGTGATTCAGAAGGGAGTTGGAAAATGGACCTTCATGCTCCTGGAGCAAAAAGCTCCGATCACGGCCGCTCCCCAGTCTCCACCGATTCGAACCTCCCCTCAGTGGAAACAGCATCCCATCCCGAGCTTCGTGTCCTTGGAGGGAATCTTCCACAGCTGGGGGCACATCACAAGACTGGATAAAGGGACCGACATCCGGTACATTGGCACACACCCTCAGCTCGCAATTATTAGCTGAGAGAGGCAGCACTTGGTCACCTGCAATATGAAGGTCACTGTAGTTTTTGCAAAAGCTCTGACAGAACGAGGGAACCAAGAAAGGGGTATCGCCACCTGAGTGAGCTTGGGCCGGGATCTCTATCTCTCGAGAGATCTGCCTGCCTAGATGAGCTCTCTGAAGATTTAAGGACTGCAAAGGAGAAATGTACAACTCAGCTGAAGCCCTTCGGTTGTCTGTAGTTATCTGCTCCGGGGAATTGTGATGAACAAGCGGAGCATGTCTGGTGGAACCTGGTATGAGGGCAGCAGCTGCTTTCTGTGACCCATAAGAATTCTGGAAAGCTGGCTTAGAAGGAAGGGAGTCCAGCTCTTCAAATTCACAGTAGGTCATGATCAGCAATCTGCCTTCACAAAGCATGGCTGCAAGAAAGAGCACATATTCAGAAGATGTATGCAGTGAGAGTAAAGGGAATTTAACATGTGATACAGATATATATATATATATATATATATATATATATATATATATATATATATATATATATATATATATTTGCAGCACACATCCCTACAGGCTTTTATTTAAGTGCATACAAACAGTATGCATTTGAATAAAGGCACCAAAACGGGACATAAGCAACACTGAGAGAACATTTTGCATAAGCATTATAAGAAGCATCAAACTATTTCTGCTGCACAATTGATCCCTGTTGAAAAGTCTTTGCAAACTATTTCAAAATTTAATTGGAGTTTAAGAAGTTACATGTAACAGAAGAATATGTTGGTTTAACACTTCCAAAGACTGTTCATCTATTAAAAAGAATGATCTTCCTACCTCAGATCTGAGTCACAGAAAAGGTTAAAACCTGTATTTTGGCACTAAACGTCCTAAAGCGGTTCTCTCAAAAGTCTGTTTTGGAGTCTGAACCTGGCTGTTGTTTTATACAACCCAAAAAGGAAGTGGGACTATCCCTTTTCACCTTGATCCCAAGTCTGCAAACTTCTGCTCTCATCATTAATGCATTTCAGCTTGTAATCTTTACAACTAATATGTTGTTTTCACTGGATTTAGCTGGTATTTTCCCTGATTATTTAAACCCTTTATACCTGGCAAACCTAAATAAGACGTGCCTACCGCCACATCAGATTTCCTTCTTGCACTATGAGGTAAAATGGTAGATGCTGGATGACAGCAGGGCGAGATGTGCGCTGTAAAAAGAAACCATTGATGTTTCATTTCCTCACAAAGCAGGTGTGCAACTGAGCTTTGCATAAAAGCAGAAAAGAAAGTCGTGTTTAATATGATAAAAATACAAGGAAACAGAAAGTTCCAGATAACTGATTCCTGTTTTCGTTTTATGGCAGATCACACCACAAATGTTTGAAGTACCTCAAAAATTTCACAGTGTTTCTTTATTAATTGTTGATTGTTTTTAGCTTAAACAGTTTTTTCCCATCCTCTGAGTTCACAGCAAAGCAGAATTGGTAACTTCACACTCAGTTATGTGACCACAAATAATCATTTCCTCCTTGATGCTTTGCCTATTCTTCAGGCACTGAACTGTCAAAGTCACTTGAGCCCAGAGGCTTTGATGGTCGTGAAATAGTTTCTTTTTCCTCACTTGACTCAAGCTTTGCTGTAGTGCAGCTATACACTGAAGTCTAAATCAGATATGTGGTGAAAGTGTTGAGAGGTTTCAGGTGTTATTTATGGCCTGGATTTTTTCGAGATGAAAGCCCCTTGTCGGCTTGAAGGACTCCTTTCTGTCCAGACTTCCTCTGCTTGTGATAGGGAACTCCAACAATAGCAGTGCATGAAACATGAGAGAAAGTTATTTCTTATTAATGAGGAAAGGAAACCTAATATATAACAGCATAAACTCATGAGGCTGTTAGGTTGTTCATGCAGCTGAATTATAAGTCTCGAAAGCACAAAATACCACCAAAGTCTAAACGAGTAAACCCATGTGTAACTGCAGCTTTCTGCTTCTGATTATCTTTCGTTTTCTCTGGTATCAGGTGTGTAAACAGGTGGCTTCACAGCTATAGTCGCTAAAACTAAAAGGTCCAGAGTTTCATTGGTGGCTGTAGTTATTTTGTCCACTTAATCTCCTGTGGGTTAAGATATCTGACACAGGTCTGCTGCTCAGTAATGGGAGCGCAAAGTGTAGAGTTACCAACCCGTTGCTACAGCAATGTTGCTGAGCAACATCCGATAACATTAAGGACATGCTGAGATCAGGTTAGACACCTGTCTCACGTCTGCTCTTGTAGCACAACAAGGTAGCAGTTTGGCAATTTCAGCACCCTGGACAGCTTCTGGTCCCGTTGAACAGCTCCAGCAAAGATGTGATAAGGACTCCCATAAAGGACAACAACTGTTTTTTGTTGGTTTGTACTTTTTTTGTATATGGATAAATGGTGTGCAAAGGGGAACTGGAGAGCAGGTCTGTCAACATGACATACTGTCCTTAGAGGAATGTTCAGAAAGATCAATAATGTGTTCCGTCCCAACCATCATGGACAGAGAGGTCGGGATGGTGGTGGTGGTAGTGGGTGTCGGGAAGAGCAGGACTACCACAACGCTTGCACTGTCAGGCTGGTGCGCAGCACCTCCATGCTCGTTGTAGGAGAGAAAACTCAGGCAGCTGCGGGCTCGACTTTAAAACGGAGCAAAAGCACAGTGAGCATCGAGTCGACCTTGTACTATTATCAGAGACAAGAGGACAGGATATGGCTGTACTCACAGAATCAGAACTGCCTTGAATACCTGGAAGCGCTTGTGGCTCTGAGGAGGCAGTACATGAAGAGTGTGAGCGACTTGAAGGGTACAGACGCAAAGGCCACAGTTTCTTCCAAGAAGAAGCCTGCGCCCTCGCCGCCTAAAAAGGAGGGACCGGTAAGCTTAAACCAAGCAGCCAATATCACATGGAAGGAAATATCAAAAATGTTTTCTTTTTTCTTCTATCATTTTACACCACAGATATCAAGAGCCAAACCCTCAGCACCCCCAGTTCCAACTGAGGACGACACTTTGCAGTTCTTTGATGCGGTCATTGCCAGCTGTGACAGCGAACCTCTGCGCAAGCCATACAAGGATGATGGGCACGCAGACGTGGATTTTATTGGTGAGTTTGAAATTCCAGCATTTAATTTGAGTAATGCTGGAAGTGAGAGAGGATCATTGAACCTTAAGACAACCTGGAAACCTACGAGCAGTGAAGTAACCTACGTGATAAAGCCACCAACAGCTTGTTTGGATATTCTGTTTTGGATGTGATGTGAGACTTAAACTGCAAAAGCAATGATTAAATTGGTTCGGTCAAAATCAGAATATTTACTGTGATTTGCTAAACGTGATATAGGCTTTCTGTTTCACAGCAAACTGCCCTGCTTACATTCATGCATTCATAAGCCACTGATGCAGCTGACTAAGTTAAACATGTAAAAAGGGCTTTTATGCCATTTTTGAATGCACGCACCACATGGTCAAAGGTGCTTGATCTTTAAGTAGGCTACCCTAACGTCTTCTTGTTGTGGCTTCACCACAGCAGATCATCTGCCTCCATCTTCCCTATTTCCCTAACATCCTCCTCTGTCACACCAACCCTCTGCATGTCTTCCTTCACTACATCCATGAATCTCTCTGGGTTTTTCCTGGTTTCTTCCTGCCTGGCAGCTCCATGTTCAACATCCACTATCCCTCCTCAACTACACAAGGTTAATTCAACAGTCGACGTCGTGTATTTTGCAGATTTAGATACAAAACATGATAAACTATTAGGTTCACTCCTCCACCAAGGCCTCACCAATCTCTTATTTTCAAATTAAATGATACGGATCCAATTTTAAATGCGGTCTGCCTTTACCCATGATCACTTTTTTTCTTTTTTTTCCGCATTATGTTGCTGAACGACTGATGGCACTAAAAAAAGGCCCATCTCTGCCCACTCCAGACATGTAAAAACAATGTAATCAGAAAAGGTGTGTATTGGTATCAGTATTAAGCTTATTGCTTGTAGCAGTAAAGAAAAATGCTTCTAAAGATTTATCTTTGTTTATCTTTATCTGATGAGTTTAAACACAAGAGCAGTGGTGCCACACTGAATTAAATGCAGCAATTGTTATTAAACTATGTTAATTAGACCGGTAGACATAATTTGGGAGATATAAATATACACTGACTGAGCTGTTTGAGGCCAGATCCATAATTTCAGTTCAGCTGCTGCTAAGGATTAGATTCATTCATCCTGGAGAGGTTTACAAAACAAATATATCAAATATCAGGCTTTCGTGAATCCTTTCACGGAGGCTGTTTAAACCCGGTAAACATGGATGACCCAGTAGCTCCACAGTGTATTGGTTTACACATTTATTTAACAAGGGAAAAATCCCCAGCTCATTCCCAGGAGGACACACCCCTGTGTGGTTGTGTCATGAATGGCACCTGGAGTACAGATCTGCCAAATCAAATATGCAGAGATACCTATTGTGGCAGGTCCTTGTGAAGGGAGCAGCTAAAAGCAGCTCTTTAAACACCTACAACCCAGTGAAAATATTCTCATTAATAAAAGCCATGAGTACAAGTCAAGAAAACAGTAAAACAAAGTAGTTGAAACACTGAGAATTCCAGCTTGAGCTCACCCCATTGCCAACTCAACCTCACAGGGAAAGTATGAAATAATGAAAATAATGATTATTTTACGTTAGGCTTTGAAAGCTCCTTTCAGACAGCGCATCGATGCTAACAGCAAAGCTTTTCTTTCAACTAGCTTTAATTATGGCTGCCACTTGCACATATACTAAATGCTTCCTCAGGTTCTTGTCATTTCCTCCCACAGTGGCCTCCAGCTCGGCCGAACATGACCTCCACTCTAACTGGGTCTTGCGAGTTCCTCGAGTCTCAGATGCTTCGGACCAGACAGCAGTTCCTGACTGTGCCAACGAAAGGATCCCCACGAAGAAGAAACAGAGCGGGTCTACGAGCAGCAGGCTGCGACTTCAGAGAAACCCGATCCACCTGCCCAAAGTGGTGGAGAGCGCATTCCAGACACTGCGCTTCAAGCCCAAATTAAAGAAGCAATGAAGCTTAGTGGACATTGAAATCAGTAGCACTGCCACACTGATCATTTGACACCAGTAAAATAAATAAATAAAGCTGTGCAGACAATTACTTCGTTTTTAATAAAGAAAATAATTTTATTAAAGCAAAAGCAGCCAGCTGTTGAAATATATTTTAACCCTTGTGTTCTAAAATTTCGCTTTTCCTTGGCAGAGACTTGAACATGTCACAGTAAGAAATGCACAAGTGATAATATTTCATATTAATAAGGATTTCACTCTGTTAAAGTGTCCTTTTGGTGCACCTCTGCATTACAGTGTCAACCCCAAATAACTTCATATTGAAAAACACAGCAATCATGACACCAGGGCCATTACATATTTATATTTCAACATTGGATGTGCTAAAGCAGCAGAAGACCACAACAGGTGTCACTCCGGTCAGTTAAGAACAGGAAACTGAGGCAGCAGTTCACACAGGCTCATCAAAACATGTTTAGAAAGATGTTGCCTGGTCTTGATTTCCACTACCACATCTAAATTTTTGGGTCAGAATTTTGTGCAAACAATCTGAAAGCATGGATCTATCTTGCCTTGTATTAACAGCTGCTGGTAGTGTAATTGTGTGGGGGATATTTTTTCCTGCTGCTTTAAACACCACAATTTAACAGGACTATTGCTATTGACCATCACTTTGTGACCTCAGTTACCCATCCTCTGAAAGCAATTATGTTAAAAAGACTAAAAATGAAGGTACCAGACGGCCTACAGTCACCACATCCCAGTCCTTTCGAGCACCTTTGGGATGTGGTGGAACGAGAAATTCAAATAACAGATATTCAGCAAGCAAATCTGCAGCAACTGTGTGACAAAATCACATCAACACGGACCAAAATCTCTGAGGAATCTTTTCAGCACCTTGTTGAATTGATGCCACTGAGAATTTAGGAACTTCGGAGGGCAAAATGGGCTTCGATCTAGTACCAGCAAAATGCATGTAATAGTGTCCAAGTGAGTACTGATTTCAGATACATATCAATTTGATGACACTTGATGACATTAAAGATCCAACTTGGATCATTTTTGTATACTCTAAAATAAAAGATCAGGAAATTCTTTTGATATCGTGAAGAATTTTTTTTTAAACCTATCTTTTAATGTCTATTTTAAACTGAACAAAGTGAGGGTTAAGTATTGTGTTTGATACAGAATTTTGTACAGTAGTGTACAGGTAAGACCCAAGGAAAGGTTGGAGTCCTCTGAGGTATCAAAACCAACTGAAAAATGTAACAATGGCTCCTTTCAAAGTCAGAGCGCTTCATGTGAGAGAGAAGTTCAGCAAGTCCAAGGACTGGGCTGTGTGAATAGCTCAAAACCAGCCAAAGTTATTGTATTTATCATTGCTAAAGTTAAAATAGTTGTAAACATGAAAAGTCAATAAAACACAATCTACCTGACCTAACTTTTATGGTATACAGCGAGTGTTGCATTATTGGTTTTATTTTCCCAGGGTTACAAATACCTGTCACTCAATTTCAGGATACAGAGGATCTGAATGAATGTTTAGGTACTAAAGTAGGATTAAAGAAAGTCTTTGTGTAGTTTGTGGTTGTTGCAAAAGAAGTATGCAGAAACTTAAATGAACCCATATCATCTGAAATGTTTTTTTAAATATTATATATTTATCCGTTTAAAAGGAATGCTAAATTACGTGCCACGATCCCTTTACCTTCAAAGTATTTAAAAAGAAAGTACTTTCAAATACTTTTTTTTCTTTATTAGAAATGTCACAAATCAAACACAAACAGCATTCATTTCTTTTCTGCTTTGACCTTGGGGCTGAAAAAGGACGACATGGGCTTCATGCCTGTCTTGTCCACCTTAGCTAGACTTTTCTGAGCTGCCGTCATCTTCTTGGGCGGCTGAAATGCAAAAAAGAAAAATCAATATAACACAACGCCCTTGTGTGGAGACAGCAGGAAATTAATTACATAACATCAACTTCAATTAAATCTACAAGGTAAGGGCCACAGCCTTGTGAATACACGATGTACACCAGGCTTGAAGAAAGCGATCGCCAAACAAAAACTGCACGAACAATCAGCGTCTTAAAAAAAAACACAAAGAAAGAAAAAGAAATAGAAAAAGCTAAAATAACAGCAAGCTTTGGTCATTATCATGTAATTACAACGAAGATAAAACCACCAGACGCTCCACATGCTTTAGTCTATTCCAGCAGACATACACTCACTTTGCGCGCAAAATCTGCACTGTTGAATTTGGTGTAGTCTTCTCCAGCCTCCACCGGCTTGTCTGAAAGTTTCCGCTTCTGCCAAACGAGGAAGTAAGACAGGCTTTTCATGACTAAAACCACCGAGCTATTTTTCCACAGAACCACCACTACAAGCTCTAATGTCCTCACACTATAAGCAAAGTTAACCCCACACAAGCGCAGGCAGAGGATTTCCCCTGTGAAACATGCAACACTTTACAGTAAGGTGGATGAGTGCATGAAGAGTGCACGGCATCTACGACAGCAAGCAGAACTGAAAACATGCAACACCACATATATTTGCACCTAAGTGGGAAGAGCTCATACCTTAGAAGGAGGCTCGGTCTCCTTTGGGCTTGTGAGCTCTGGTAACCTATGAAGCACAATAAGAGATGTGCTTGATCTGCAGTGGCGTTAATACCATTACTCATTAAGATGTTCATCATTCATCAACTTACCCCAAGTGTGTGAGGAGGGCTTTGCTCAGGTCTTCAGTGATATACTCTGATATCAGGCCGTGGGAATACCGTATGAAGTCCTCTGTATCGTTAAATAAGAGATACAAATAACCAAAATCGCCCTGTTTGATTATTTCTGTATTTCTTTATGACCGAGAGATTTAAAAACTTAAGGTCAGGGAATTGTTTAAGTGATCTGTGAGTCAACATAATCTATAAACAAAAACTTTGCAGCGCTACTGCCATCTGCTGGTCAACAGTCTTCCTAGGAAGAAACTATTTAAGCCCAAATATGTCTTCTCGGGTTAAGAATGAGGCAGAAAATTCAGATGGTTGAGAAATGGGAATCATCTTAAAAGCGTTAAGTGGTCTTAAGTTACCCTCTTGGTTGTCTGTCTCTGACTTTACTCTGACATATGTTGAGGACTTCACTCCTTCTCCCACAGAGACATTTTTTTTCTTTAAGGCAATAACTGTCCTCTCCACCTATTAAAAATACATACATAAAGAAAATGTGCAGCATGTGCAAAAAATAAGCATGCATTTTCAGTGTTGTATTGCATTGAGCAAAAATAGATTTTCAATAAATACCTTTTTCTTTAACCAGTTCATGGTTTTCTCTTGACTGTATCGATGATACATCTGGCTTTCCACCTCTGGAACACAACATTTGGACAAAGCATCCAGCTTGACCTTGTAGCTTCATGAATCATAGTATCTTTAAAAGTAAAATTCACCTTTTTCCTCAGCGATGTGGTGCAAGGAGGCCAGGGTACGAGCGCAGCTAAGCAGCCTCGAGCAAGCTGGGAATTCTTCATCTTTAACAACTTGATCCACACGCTGGAACTTTTCCTGAGCAACACATTAAGGGATGAAACAGTCAGGTCCACACGTTTTTTTGACAATGACATAATTTTTGTAATTTTGCCTCTGTACACAAAAACTTATAATGTATTCAATATAGTTAAATCCATGCAAGTTTTTCTGAACTTCCTCTACTGTTCTGTGCCTTATGAAACAATATCTAATGTCTCTGTAATGCTATGCTGAAATTGAAAAATGTTTCACTTAATTGTATGTAAGCCTCTTCTTACCTCTTTGCCAGATTTGATCAAATATGGCAAAATTAGAAAGAGAGGATCCAAAGGTGTTACAAAGATCAGTCTCCCATCTGATTAAAAAAAGAGAGAAAGACAACTGGTAAAGCAAAGACACGTAATTAGCATCTGATTAAATTTTGCTATAGGACAGCAAACTAAATAACTGCGAGACATCAGCTGAAAATTCATAAATTTTTCTATGACTTAATCAATAAATTGTTGATTAAATAAAAAGAAAACTATTACAAATACAGTTAAACTGCATCGCAGTATGCAAACCTGTGAATCACAGACCTGAGCTGTCAGCTTGGTGTATGATGTCATGTTATAGGTAAGCTGTATGTTGAATCCATTTGTCAGTATTTATGTCCAATGTAAAAGGAGCTTCTGAATAGATCATTTGGCTTCTATGGACTTCAACCAAGCTGGAATAAGCCCTGATTGCAAAACTCTTCCCATCAGACAAATATAGCTGATGCAGATTCAAGATAAAATGAACCGACATCATAGCTGTGTGTGTAATTATGATCAGACTGATTCAGTTTACTCTGGAATGAGACCCACCTCTCTGCACAGCCTGGCCAACAAACCAAGAGTGGAAATCATCCTCAAATGCTTTGACCTCATACAGCATCACATCCCCACAACCCAACATGTACAGAGATGCTGCATCTGCAGGATTTAAAAAAAAAAATGAAAAAAGGAGGAAATGTGTTATTTCAGTTCTGTTTCTGCAGTTTACAAAACACAGAATTAGCCCAGTTTAACACCTGATGGGAAACGTGAAAAAAAAATCTATTTTTGAGGTTCTGTTTTAATCCAATCCAACTTTATTTATATAGCACTTTTAAAAAGAACAAAGTTGACCAAAGTGCTTTCCAATAATAAAACAGAGATAACAGTTAAAAACCATATATTAAGCATACAATGAAATCAATAAACAAAATAAATATATAATTGAAAAAGAAGATAAAAATAAATCAATGTGAGTTTTAAATGTGAGTATGGATGCTTGTGTCCGCCATTTAAAAAAAAAGTATTCATAACTCGAAATTTCGACTTATTTTCTCATAATTTCGACAGTAGTAACTCGAAATTTCGAGTTAGCTCTGCCAATCAGTAATCTACGCACTCAAAACTGGATTGCAACAAATTGGCGCTTTCAAGAGTACGTTTGCTGATAGTAACGCATGTG